CTTGTCTTCATTCATAAAATTATTATAGTCATTCATTAAAATCTTACTAAGCTGTTTGCTGTGACCTCCTGCAGCAGTTAGTTGCACCAGGTAATTATATGGTTATGAGGTATTATTTTATTACTCCAGGAATCGCGGCTTTGTTCTCGTACTTGCCAGAGTTTCATTATGAGTGCTTAGTGTGCATATCTTCTTTCCTCCAGTTCACAAAGACTTGAACTCATCTGTATTCTGAAGAGGACCGTATCTTCTGTATACCTCTGGAAATCTCTTCCTCGCATCCTCTGAAGTAAGGTCTTTGAGGGGGATTTTTAAGGAATATGTAGGGTTGGCTTTGGAAATTCCTTCTCTATTTTAAAACATTGCTTTCTCAATTTCTTGGATAATTTTCTTGGTCTAGAGTATTAAGAACTTAAATCTTTGTCCCATCCTTAGAGAGCACATCTGCAAAACGAGCTGGACTGAGCTTACTGCATTTTCACCTGGAGAGGCTTTTCCTGGAAAACTTCTCATTTGTGTTAATTGGTATTTGAAGTACCGTGGCAGCTACAATTAGCAAGTGCTGCCTTCACCTTGTCTTTAGATAGGACTTTTCTTTTCCCTACTTAATCTGTCTGTTTAGCTCTAGCCTTCGTCACTGAAGATGCCTGAAATGAGTCATACAGTATATATGCCATGTATGAAATCTCACCTTTTTCTTTTTACTTTAACCCTTTGTTTTTGACATGTGTGTAGAGGCCTGATAGATGGAGCCTCTTTGGCCAGGCTTGTGTTGTATCAGAAAAGCTGACATTGACTTGGTATTGCTGGATTGGTTTTGTTATTACAGGGGAGGTTCTTGGTTCTTAGTCACTGAGCAAAAATCAGTCTTGCTGGTGCATGATGGTGGTGATTCACCACCTGGCTCTCATCCTCCTTGTCTGACCCTGGACTGCACTTCAGGGGGGCTTCTGTCTTTCTCCACACCAAATCTCCTTCTTAATCCATCGCTCCATACATTGTGAGGAGGACATGGAAAATGTGCTGACTTGGGAGACCTCCCTCCTAACTGGTTTTGCCTCCAAGCCCGGTGCTGGGGCCAAGCTGTGGGCCAGGTGGTGGGTGTGTGCCTTGGGAGCCAGCCCCAGTTGAAAGGTTGTGTTGACTTAGCGCTGGGGGAGCTCTGCAGAAGCCAAATATTTAGCTTTCCATCTGATAACCTGTCTGTTGTTTCTTGCCTTGCAACAACTAAATGCTTTTTTTATTCCCAAACCACGTTAAGGCTTCCACAGACATTTTGCAGCTTCTTGGCTTTTGGTGTGGCAGATGGGAGGGTGCTGACAAGGTGGCCTCGTGACTGAGGCATGGGTGCAGCCATCGCAGTTCCTAGGCTCTCTTCTCAATTTTTTTTTTTTTTTTTTGGCATTATGTTAGGTGAATCAGTTACCAGCTTTGTGTCTCAGTTTTTCCATCTGTCAAAATGTTTTTATTTAAATAAATAAAAATCTCACACTAAAAGGAAGTAAAAATAAGCCATAGTAACTAGGGCTCATAGCAGTTCAAAAGAAAACTTGACTGTAAATTGGATTTGCTGCATGTGCAAAGGCATAGGATTGATGGACAAGTGCAAATTTGGGATTAGGTTGACCAGCTCCAGCAATTTGAAGTGAGTATGTTAGTAATCAAGAGATGTTTTTACGTTGCTTCTTTCAGTTTCAGAGACTGATGGAGGTGAGAGGGAGGAAGAGGAGAAAGAGCTGTTTTTCTGACAGCTGAAAATCATGACTGTTACTGTATATATTTAATCCCAAAGGTTAGAGAATCATAACCTGCTTTCCTTCTCCCATCCTTCCAGAAATGGTTTCACCAGGGGCTAGTAACTGTCTTTTGCAGCCTTGCAAACAAGGTTTTATGAATAAGCCACCGTCTGGGACACAGTTGTCACCTCTGGGGTGACAACAGAAGCTCTACAGGTGCTGGCTGTATTGTTCAGTGGCAGCCCTGGGGACAGCCTTTCACTCAGGCCAGCGTGAACTATCCAGGCCTTAAATGGTCCCTTGCCTTTGTGGACTGGGAGCTTGGAGCTTATCCAGGAAGCCCAGTTCCAGGATATATGTTCCTTTTTGAAGGAAGATGACCTAGAAGCCAGTGCTCCTGGCATCAGGGGGAGAGGCAGCTGCTGCACTGGGGGAGGAATTGCCAGATACCTGGCTGCAGGAGTGCTCTGTGCTTTCCCTGCACTGTTCCCAGTTCCTGAAAGCGTGAATTTATCCTTTTGTTCCCACACTCAATGCTAACTGTGGTTCAGGGTATTACTGCTAGCACCTGGAGGGGCTGGAAACATCAATGGTGTTTTGTCAGCACTGGTAGTTCCCCATGCTTTGTGTCAGTGCTCTGCATCCATGTCACAGGGGTGGCCTGCCACACTTCCCTGTGAGGGAGCACTGTACAGGGGCCAGGTATGTTTCCATACCTCTGTAGCCATAAAGCATGGGCACCCTGAATGGAAAGTCTTGCTAGCCACCCAGGCAACGCTGGGAGTTTCTGTGGCTGAGGAGGAGGGGGCGTGCAGAGCTCCTTCACTAACGGTCGCAGAGGTGTTGCTTCACCCCAAGATGTCATGTGCTTACTCGGCAGGAAGAAGGCTGCTTTGATCAGGATGGAAAATTTCAGTGAGACACCTGTGGTCTTCTCAGGCCACGGTGCTTCAAGTGAGGTTGGCCACATTTTCCTTTCTGCTCTTGAGAGTATCTGGCTGTAGGACTTGTGGAGCCAAGGAGAGCCTCCTGAATGTTTTCCAAGCTCTGAGAGTTCTCACGCCTCGGTGCAGCAAGCATCCCAGGAGGATTGGAGGCTCAGAGTTTTCTCCCATTAAAAAACGTTCATGCCATTAAAATAACTGGCTGAGCATTGTAGTGTTTCCAGCAAAGAGATGGGGAACCAGGCAGACTTTTCATTCTGATGAGTCACTGACTCTCTCCTGATTTGCCTCTTGTAAGAGCTGTTTGGGCAGCTGCTGATGCAGGAACCTGATTCTGAGTGATGGTCCCTGGGGAGCAGGACAGGACTGTGCATGCTGCTTCACCTCCGAGCTGGTGGATTGTTTGTCTGCCTCGCTCTTTATCAGTAAAGCATTGCTCACAGCTGTGGTTCTTGCCTGCCTTGATCCTGCCTCATCAGGATAGCTGGGAAGGGGTGTTGGTGCAGAGAAACAAAATGCCCAAGTGCTTTCTGTAGCCCTAAAAGTGTGAATTGGAAATCAGAGGACCTGATGCCTTATGTTCCTGGGCTGTCTTATAACCATGTCAGAGCTGAAGGTTTTGTCTCTGTCCCCAAGAAAGAGTGTAGTCCCTCTCTAGTACCCAAGAGCTGTCCATACCCATATCTATTCCCTGTGCATGAGCAGGAGTGCTCTTCACTGTTCCAGCTGCTCCCCGGATCCTTCTTGTGTGTTTTTATGATGTCCATGTCTGCCTGAGAGAGGAGATCCTGGAAGGCAGGCAGCTTCTGTTCTGGGGATGTTGAGGTTGAAGGGACTGCAAGTATGTGACTTATTTTTGAGGGAAATGTTGTTCTTCTCAGTTCACCTACGTGGAATCATATTAATGGACTAAAGAGTCTTGTCAGTAGAAGCTTTTTTCCTTCCATTCCTTGCTTTTTGTGCCAGTGGCTCTATATAAAATAAGATCGTTGATGGGGTGGGGCTCTGCAAACAGAAGGGAGCCTGGTAGACTCCCAGCGAGCTCTGCGAGCTCTTTATTAATACTTAATATGACTTGGATGCACACAGAAATCTTATCTGTTGGTGTAAAGGGTCATGGACACTTTTTTTTTCTTGTTAGCATATTTTTCACAGTAGAGTCATGCCTTTGTTTATTAATTGAAAACTATAAAAAGGCTTTTTGCCATGTCTCTCCTCAAAAAGGAGAGCTGTTGATTGGTTCAAGGCCAAAAAAAGCAGACTTGAGTCAAACTGATCTGTAATCTCACTGCTTTATTTAACTTCTATCTGGGGAGCTTCAGTTTTGTGTGGCTAGGTTTACAAAACAAAAGCAAACAAAAAAAGAATGGTCCTTAGGCAGATTTTCCTCTAACAGATACCAACCTCATTTGATCAGACTCCGGTGAAGGGAAGTTATTTAATACTTGGCTTAAGGAACTACCCAGTCTATATGTTCATGGATCACTGTGAAAAGGCTTATTCAAGTGCATTTAAAATATGGCTCACATACATTAAGGAGGGCTCCTTTCCACAGGCATTCTTTTTACTGGTAGAAATCTGCATTTTACTCACTTGCAAAACCAGAGGGTGGAAGTGTGATTACTTGGTGTCCAAGTGTCTATGTTGGCAAGTACGTGAAGCATACTGATGAGATATTACTAATGAGAGCTGTTAAATTATTTACATGAATTACTGAATGCGGCATAAAATACCTTCCACTGTTAATAACACTAATTAGACCACCAATGTATCATAAATATCCTGTAAGTTGAATCAGACCAATTGTTTTAGCTTCCACAGTCCCTGTAATAGTTTGTCTTGAAAAGGCTTTCCAAGTTGCTCATTTTAGAGCTTTTTCCTCATTTTTTTTTCTTCACCTTTGCTGTTTATGTAAAGTGTCTGGATGCCCTAAGTAAATTCCGCATTGTCTGTTGCTGCCCCTGCTCATCTTGTGCATGCAGGAGAATTTTCTTCTGCTTATATTTAATTCCTGAAAAATAAAATTTCCCAAATAAAACTCTAGAACATCCTAGAGAAAGTTCTCTGAAAGCTTTAGTGTCTTGACTGGAAAGGTAAAGAAGGCTTTAATTCTCTGCTGTTTTGTTATTGGAATTATAGTGAGAGTTTTGAAGTCTGCCAAAACACTTTTCCTTCAAACTGAAATTTTCCAATGTTTGCTCTCTCACGCAATTTCACAGCTCCTTTTCTTTCTTTTTTTTTTTTTTTTTTTTCCTTTTTTTACCTCCCCTCCAGGATCTCTGGTTTAATTTTTGTTTTGCAAGAGACCTTCATGTGGGGTATGTGTGTTTTTTGAAACATCTTGATTTTTGTTGAAATTTTAAGAATCAGTTATTGGAATAGAGATGAAGGATAGGAAATTTTAATGCAAAGGACAATTCTTTGAGGGAGACTAGTTCTCCTGCACACTATGCTCATGGTTACAGTGGTGTGAGTCATTGAGCAAACTTCCTGGCATTTCTGCCAGCTGTGATTTCTCAGTATTTTAAAGGAGGTGATAACTGAATTATAAATAGATGATAGGTTCCATCTGTAAATTTCTAAGCTAGATCCAGAGTTTTCCAGAAGGTGTTGGTGCTTTTTTGGACCCTGGGTTGTTTCTGGCTACGATACTTTGCCAGGAGGGCAGCTGATTAGCCTCCAGACATGCAGACACGTCAGGCTCCTTGTAGCGAGATGCTCGCTCAGTGTCTTGATTCTGTATAGCACGTGCACTTGGAATGACTTCCAGATTTGCACTCCAGTTCAACCCCTTGCTCTCCTAGGTCTGCTAGCCATCAGGAACTTACCTGACTGCTGAAATCCTTGCAGTGTCATTGGGAGACCAACAAAATAAAAGCAAAACCATATGGGAAGTGATAAAGTCTGTGCCAGACTTTGTTACTGATATTCTGAGTTGCCCAACCTCTCTCATACTAGTTCATTTTAAGGAACTGATTGATTTAAATGTGTTATTTAAAATTAAATAAATATTTACAGGCTTACTTTTTAATTTTTTTTTTTTGAGGGCTGGGATATGTGATTACCTATACATGCATCCGAAATACATGCATACATGTGTGTTTTGCTGTGGTACTCCGATAACTAGAACCACTTTTAAATGGTGGTTCTAGTTATCTAATTAGACACAGTGGGCTCCTCCCATTGTGTCAGGCTTTCTTAACACAGAAGGGAGCTGAACCATGCAATTACCTTCATGGAGACCAGTCTTGTCTGTTCAGAGCTGTGGCAGAGGGGGTCCAAGTTACCTACCAGCATCAGAGCCTGTCAACTGCTGTGTTGGGTGGTTAAAAAGACCTGTGAAGCTGTAACAACTCCTTGCATCAGAACAGGGAGAGGGCTCTTCCCAGGCTTGCTGTTGAAATGAGGCACATGGTTGTGTGGTCTCCAGCCCTAGAAATGCTCTCTGGAGCTTTCCAGTCAACAGGAAGTGCTAGCAGTTGCTGGTGGCTAATTTAAGCAGCTGCTTTTCAAGACAGTGTCAGTGGTGTCCTTTCTGTGTATTCAAGCAGAAGCTGATCTGGTGGTGTTGAGACAGCACAGTGTTTTGGGGTGGTGATGGGCGTCCCACAGGGCTCTGAGTGTATGAGTGTGGCTTCCTTTTGCATGAACTCGCTTGGCCGGGGTGTGAGCTAAGGGACCAGCAGTTTGCAGCTTAAGTGATGTTTTTGCCTCCTTTGCAGACCTGGGAGGGCTTCAGGACCGTTGTCTGGGTCTCAGGGCACAGCCTGCCGGAGGCACTGGAAGTGGATTGGTTCCTGGTCATGCCCGGTGGAAGGAGGGGACCCAGCCGGCAGCAGCTAAGCCGTTCAGCTTTGCCTTCTCTCCAGACGCTGGTTGGTGGGAGCTGCGGGAACGGTACTGGTTTGAGAAACAGGTGAGGACAAAGGTTGGGATGGTTGAGACACCTGCAGTTGGGATAGTGCTAAAAACTAGGAGCCTTGCTCCACGCTGAACTCTGTGTGGGAATGCAGCTTTGTGGTTAAAGCAGGGAACTGGGAGACGGGAACCTTGAGCCCACTGCTGTGGCATTAGGAGAGGGAATGTGCCCTGCATGACCAACCTCTTCTAGCTTCTCTTCCCAGCTCTTCCATGGCACACGCTTCCCTCTGTGTCCCCTCTCTTGACTTCATGCATTAAAATCAGCCCTGTGGGGGCGATTGTGGAAGTGGTCTCAGCCACCCTTCACTGCTCACTGAAGTCACAATGGCCAGGGGTGGAAGTCGCGCCACGCTCAGTTTGTCTTTCCCTCAGCAGTTCCCAGAGCAGTGAGTCCTACCAGATGATGAGTCCTTGTCTCTCTTGCTCACTTGCCTGCAATGCCACAGGGAGTTAAGTGTGACAAGTGAGAGCTTAGCTGTGAGTCCCCCTCCTGCATGATAGAAAGGCACTGTTTTAGCCCTGCTGGCTGCAGATGAAACTAATTCTTACCATTGGCAAAGCCCATCTCCATTTTCTGGGAAACTTGGGGGCTGAAAAAGGAACACATGGTGACATTTAGATCTCCACATTTGGCATAAAGACTAAAAGGGCCCGGCGTTGCTTCCTTCCATACCTAAGTTAGCAGACTAGAGAAGCTGTCTGATGCATGTTGAGGCCCTGATCTACTTCCTATGAGTTCATCCTTACAGAGTAGACAGACCCGAGCCATTTAGCTTTGGCCTTTAAAGACTTTTCTGTCTGGGACAGATTAATGGATAGCAGTCTTAGATGAGGAACAAATGACTGTTGAGACCATAGAGTCAGTGCCTCAAGGTTCTGGGGGGGAGCACTGCTTATCCTGGTGTCAGTCAGACGTGTCTGAACTTCCTCCATCAGTTTAGTCTGCCAGAGCTTTTAGTTATCCTAGTCTCCTCTGGAGGCTAAGAAAGAAGGAAGTGAGAGAATACTTGAGGGGTCAGACTCTAGGAAGTGGCTGAACTCCTCTGTTCTATTTTTACTTACTCTTCTTTTTAAGAGGAAGTGTGAGCAGAAAGATGATGGGCACTGCAATACTGGAGAAGGAGGCTGGGTGCTACTGTAATGTCCTAGTGATGGGTAGAAGGAGCCAGCATTTAAGGGCTTGGTTGGACACAGAGCCCTCAATGATTTTTGCTTGGAGATGCCTCCTCACTTTGTACCTCTGTTCCTCCATCTACAAGTTTACTGAAATATTGTTGGGCTTGTCACAGCACCTCTGGCAGACCGATATGCTGTCTAGAGAAAATGCTGGATACGGGTTTTATCTGAGCCAAGATGATGATGAAGCACACCACCAGAGATATGAATACAAAACTTCTGCCATCTCTCCTCTAGCAATGCTCAGTCCCAATTTCACAACCTCAAGCACTCCTCATCCTGGAAAATGGTAGAGATGAGGTAGAATGTTTACAAGTGAGTAATATCTGTCTGCTTCAGGAATGGTAGTGCCATCAGCCTCTCTGCACCTCCGATCACAGCGCTGATTACGCCAGAGCCTGTACGTCACTGCCGGATCCCTGAACTGCCACTGGATGGGAGCCTTCTCTTTGAATTCCTGTTCTTCATCTACCTACTGGTAGCCCTCTTCATTCAGTACATCAACATCTACAAGACTGTCTGGTGGTACCCATACAATCACCCTGCATCCTGCACCTCACTGGTGAGTTCCCCTGCAAATGCCATCACTCGTGTTTTTTCATTACACAGCTTCTTTTCATGCATCTTCAGGCCAGGAATCGCCAATCATTTGACATTAAGGGAGTGAAGAGGAATTCACATGCATCCACATCAGCCAGGGCCATGTCATCCCCCATTTTACAGGTTGAAAAAAACACGTGGAAGGTGAGAGAGGTGTCAACAGGACTCCTTCAGTGGAAATTTCTTGCAGAATCTTGCATGGCTTAGCTAGCCCCTAGGGTTTGAAATGGAGTTGAGAGTCCAGAAACCTGCCTTCTCCTACTGCAGGTGCCCCTTGACAGTGGAAACAACAGGGCATGAGAAGAGGGAGACGATGCAAGTTTTTATTAGGATCTCACAGCAGGTCAGCAGCAGAGGAGTTGGGGAGGGTGTCAGATCCTCAGCTTATGTAAACCTCCCAGCCTCCTCGGTTTCAGTCTTCTTTCTGGTAAGCTGCACAGCCTGGCAGTGACCTGTCCCTGAGCTGGCAAACCTCGTCTGAGAGAAGCTAGCCTCTGAAGCAGTCCTTCAGTGTGTATTGTGTCCTTGCTGCTTGGAAGTATGAGGTGGTTCCTTGGGTAACTATACCGACAGGTGGTGCTGGTGTTCCAGTTATCAGGTTCAAGTTCAGCTACTCAATGCTAGACACGGCTTTTGAAGAAAAGAGCTTTCTGGTTTAGGCTCCCAAACTGAAAGGATTTAATGGTCCTTTGTCCCTATCAGAAGTCAAGCATTCTTTTTTTACCCAAAATGTCCTTGAAGTCCCAAATAGCAGTATTCAGAGTCTACTAACTGTTCTAGCCAAAACAAATTTGATAGCTTCGCCGAAAAATTGTAAGGGGTCCAAGAGCTGTATCTAGCTTGATGCAGTCAGAGCCAACATTAAACTTCTAATACAGATCTGTGGCCCACAAAGATGTAATTTCTCAGATCAACTTGATTATCAGGGTCACTACAGACTATTTCTGAGACTAAGAGCTAAAGTGAGCTGGTGGGCTCACTCTGGACTCCATTTTGGCCACCCTTGCTCTGGTTGCTCAGTGGCTTTTGCTGGAAGAACATGCAAGCTGTTCTCTGTAGTAGGATCCTGGTCCTAAATGTCCCTTTGACCCCAAAAATACCTACCTGAAGGGTGGGTTTGTTTTGTTTTCAGTGGAAATCTCTCCATGGGAAGGAACCTCCGTGTGGGGAAGATCTTGCTTCTGGAGACATTCCTGTGTGACTGATGTTTATCCCTTCTCCCTCATCCCTAATAGAGAGATTTTGGGGAATGCTTACATGAGGTCCTAATGCACTCTCAGCAGCCAGATTTCTAGTCCCACCCCAGCTGGGTGGTTTCAGAGTTCCTTCCCCTGGTGAAGACCTTTTTTCTTTCCTTCTTCAGAATTTTCACCTCATTGACTACCACCTGGCGGCGTTCATCACAGTGATGCTGGCTCGGAGGCTGGTGTGGGCCCTCATCTCTGAGGTAACATTCCCAAATGTTCCCTCTCCTGCCTGTAGCACTGATTGCAGAGCACAGCCATCCATGGCATGAGAAAGTTTGGCACGTTGCATAGCTGGAGGGTTTCTTCCCCCAGAACAAGTCTGGGTGTGAAGGACTTAAGATTTTTTGGGATGCCCTTCTGCCTTGAAGTTTTCTCCTTGAGATCATTCATGCCCTGCAGTATTGGGTAGCTCTGTTGCCTCTGCACCTAGGAGGAGATGAAATGGTCCCACTTGCTGCCTTACCTGTGCAGGCACAATGCTGTGCCTCGATATCTTGTGCCAGAGAGGTGGCTGAGAGTATTGCAAGTCAAGTAGCAGAAAGGCAAATGGGAAGGTTAGGCAAGACTAGAAGAAAGAACAGGAGATGAGAGGGGAAAGGTCGGGAGGAGGATGTTTGAGTACACTAAAGGGAAATAGGAGTAGCTGGTAGAACTGCTTGTCTGGTCCAGGTTACTCAGTAACTCTGAGACTGATCATGTCACCTCAGATTTTGAGACCCTCTCTGTGTTTGTGAGAGCAGAACCAGGCCAAATACATGTTTGAGAAAGGCCATTTTGAGGAAAATGGCAGTTTTGTCCCCTGAAACTGTTAATAGAACTCCAGGCTAAGCAACTAAGCAGTAAGTTTAAAAATAAAATAAAGGAACAGTTATGACCTGTTGAGTAGGTGAATGGAGAAGATTGAATCTCTGAAGTTCTCTTTTCATCTCCAGTTCCTGCCATTTTCATTTATGATCACATCCCCCGTAAAACTTCCCATAGACTGAAATTTCTGCATTAAAACCTTCCATGCAAGTTCTTATGCATCACTTCTATTGGCTCTAACCCCTGAGAATCTTTCCATAGTTCAGTTGCCTTCTCCCCACTGGAGACTGGAACAAGCTTTCTTGCTGTCCTTTTGAAGGTGGGGCCTCCTCACTAGAGTGCAGCCTGTAGAGATGAGTGGTGGAAATTTAGTTTTAAGATTCCCTCAGCTGAGAACTGTGACATTTCAGTTCTTTAGGAAAGTAAGTGCTGAGACCTGATCCTTTTAAAGGAAAGAGCAAGAGGAAATATGTTTCAGGCTATCCTGGAACTATCATCGGAGAAATAAGGGACTTGAGCAACAGTATTTCCTACTTTGCAGGTTTGAATATTTTTAAAAAAATTTTAGTCATGCATTGCAATTTGTGCTTGTTTGAATGTTTTGGATTCTCTCAATCGTGAATAAAATCAAAGGTGTCCACCTTTGTAAGAGAGTCAGTCTCCTGCTACTGAGAGGAAGAGGGCAGCCATCCATCCCTCTTACAGTGCCTCCAGGCACCCTTCTCCCTGCTACTCCTCCACAGGTACCCCCTGTTCTAGCACTGGTGTTAGAGGGCTGCTGAATGTTTCTTCTCCGTTTGCAGGCCTCTCAGGTGGGTGCGACATCAGTGATTCACTACCTGGTGCGCCTGGTGCTGCTCACCCTCTGTGGATGGGTGCTCTGCTGGACTTTGGTCAACCTCTTCCGCAGCCATTCTGTTCTCAACCTTCTCTTCCTGGGCTACCCGTGAGTGACACCACCTTGTACCTTCAGGGTGGGGGGAGCATGGCTGCCTGGGGGTGGCGTGAGCCACCAGAGCAAGCAGAGGTGTTGGCTATAATCTGTCTCCCCGTTTTTTTGGTTAAAGGGGAAGAAGGAGTGGCCAGGGGATGATGTGAGGAGGTAGTGCAGAGCTGATGAAGTATATTGCCTCAGTATGTTTACATGAGGGGCCTTTACTGAAGACTGAGCCATTGGGATCATTGGTTCCACAAATGGGATTTAAAGCTGCTTTTCTGCACAGTTGTTAAATCTGCAGCATGTAGCCTTTTACAGAGGAGAAGAGTTGGCCACTAGGTTCTGGAGTGAGGGTTCCTATGTGGTGTCCCTCTCTGAAGGGCCAACATGTGTTGAGAAGGTGCCCCCTGCTTCCTGTTGAAATGGCTGTCACTTCATCCCTTTTTCTTTCTTTCCCCACAGGTTTGGTGTCTACGTTCCTCTGTGCTGCTTCCACCAGGACAGCAGAGCACAGCCCCTTCCTGCAGACTGTGGTTACTTGGTACAGGACCAGATGGTGGATGATGGGTCTTCAGCTGTCAGCAGCCTGGTCAAACCCAAAGATTTCCTCTCGCTTCTGTGGGAGTCCCTGAGAGAACAGTTCAATAACCCTACATCTATCCCCACTCACAGCTGCCCCCTCTCCCCAGATCTCATCCGCAATGAGGTGGAGTGCTTAAAAGCAGACTTCAACCGCAGGATCAAGGAAGTTCTCTTCAACTCTCTCTTCAGTGCCTACTACGTGGCGTTTCTGCCACTGTGTTTTGTGAAGGTAGCTCTTGTCAGGCTCTCTCTGTGCCCCTGCCCGCCGTCTCCTTCTGAATGTTGTGTGAATTGTTGCCAGGCCAGATTCCTGGTTAATTCCCCTTTTCTCTGTCTCCCCTTTGGCAGCCCGGATAGCGGAGCATGGCTGCATCCGGAGTGCACTAGTACTGCTCCTGGTTGGCGGATAGGTATTGCCATAAATGTGATGCACCTCTAGTCCCATCACCCCACTTACTAACTCCCCTTCTCCCGCCCCCTGTCCTAGGCAGATGGATAGCTGTGTTCTTCCTAGAAAAGGGAAGCTCTTGTTACTTGTCTCAGATCCAGCATCCTGGCTTTCAAGTGCTTGGATCAGAGGCTTTGATGGTCAGCCTGTTAGAAAACAGCCAACTAGGATGCTTGGCAAGCTAAACCCAAGACCCTCTTGTCAATGTGGGGCTTGTATTTTTTCAATCTGTTGTTTTTTCTAACTTAGAATGAGCTCCAGTTGGTGTAATTAAACAGGCAGGGCTCTACAATCCATGTAGCAGTCTTGGTGCAACTGTTGCTTATGGGGCAGTCCTGTGGCAAGCAAACCCCCTTGTTATCTGCTGCTGGAGGAGGAGATGCACCAGCTGCAGCATCATCCCCCTGCCCTTTCTCCTTCAGGTCAAGGAGATGGGAGTCTTGATTGTTTCCTAAGCTGTAACCCTCTGAAACCACCGGTCCAAAAGCGCATGCCTGTAACGTGTGGTGTGGGTCTGCTGGATGTACATGCAGTACGTCCCTTGTCGTTCCTTCCTCTGTTTTGTGAACAGTAGTGCCAAGTTCTTGTCTGCTCTCTTTGCAGAGTACCCAGTACTACGACATGCGCTGGTCCTGCGAGCACCTCATCATGGTGTGGATCAATGCCTTTGTCATGCTCACCACTCAGCTGCTGCCTCCCAAGTACTGTGACCTGCTCCACAGATCAGCTGCCCACCTTGGCAAGTGGCAGAAACTAGAACACGGTTCCTACAGCAATGCTCCACAGCATATGTGAGTGTGGGGATGAGGAGGGGTTGGCGTGTGCAGCAAGGGGTGAGAAGACGCTCTAGTAGATAAGCAGGTATCACAGTGCTTATCTACTGAGGGTGCTTCTTCATTCCCCACAGCGCTGGGGTCAGAGATACAACTCTGCTGGTCTTTGTTTGCTAGAAATGGAATTGTCTGCTCTAGAGAGCTGTCTGAGCTCCTCTAGTCAGTGGTATTTCCTTCCCAGAAACAAATGCTGAGCTTCTGCTTGGCCAACTGGAGAAGTTGCTTGTGCAGGGGCAGAGGGTGGCCCCCTCTGCAGCAGATTCTAACCCTGGGGTAGCCATTTGTTCAGGGCGAGTCCATCGGGTGGTCTTGTGATCACCTCCTTGCCCTTTCCCAGTGGCAGCTAGGACACATCCTCGTGGCAGAGGCTTTTGTATTTTCCAGGGTGCAGTCCGTTCCTGTGGATCCACATCTAGGGAGTTGGGAGCACAGACGCTAATGCTCTGGTGGTCTTTCCCCACAGCTGGTCAGAAAACACAATATGGCCGCAAGGAGTTCTGGTGCGACGGAGCCGATGCCTGTATAAAGCAGTTGGGCCTTACAACGTAGCAGTGCCTTCAGATGTGTCCCACGCCCGCTTTTATGCAAGTATCTCTCCTCTCAGTTGCCGTGTTATGATTGCGGGAGGGAGGAGAAACCTAACTGCAGCAGAGCAGACTGTGCAAAACAGAGTTTGGTGCTGACCAACAGCCTGTTGCTGCTAAACAGAATACCTGTTAGCAGCAGAGGGGCTTTCCCATGGTAGTATTACAGAATCACAGAATTGTCTAGGTTGAAAAAGACCTTGAAGATCCTCCAGTCCAACCATTAACCTCACACTGACCGTTCTCAACTCCACCAGATCCCTCAGTGCTGGGTCAACCTGACTCTTCAACCCCTCCAGGGATGGGGACTCCCCCCCTGCCCTGGGCAGCCCATTCCAACACCCAACAACCCCTTCTGCAAAGAAATACTTCCTAAGAGCCAGTCTGACCCTGCCCTGGTGCAGCTTGAGGCCATTCCCTCTTGGCCTGGCGCTGGTTCCTCGGTGTAAGAGACTCATCCCCCCTCTCTGCACCCTCCTTTCAGGGAGCTGTAGAGGGCCATGAGGTCTCCCCTCAGCCTCCTCTTCTCCAGACTAAACCCCCCCAGTTCCCTCAGCCGCTCCCCATCAGACCTGTGCTCCAGACCCTGCACCAGCTCCGTTGCCCTTCTCTGGACACGCTCGAGTCATTCAATGGCCTTTTTGGGGTGAGGGGCCCAAAACTGAACACAGTATTTGAGGTGCAGCCTCACCAGTGCCAAGTACAGGGGTAAGATCCCTTCCCCTGTCCCTGCTGGCCACGCTATTGCTGTAGTGGTGGCTGGGCAAGATGGAAGCCACAGCTGCCTTCTTGGTGCTTCCTCAGCATGGTGATTCATCTTGCCAATCAGGCAGTGGCAGATTAAGAGGGTTCTAGTTAACATCTTGCAGGGAAATGGGGAAGTATCTTGGCTGGCCAAGAGCTTATTTCACCTGTCCTCCCCTTCTCAAGCACAATGACACTTCTACATGTCATATTTCTTGTGCTGCTTTCCCCAGGTAGCAGCTGGCAGTGGTTAGAGTACAAATTTCTGCCCAACAGCGCTATGTACATCTCCCTCCCCATTTTAACACTTCAACAAATCAAAGAAATCATGTCCTTTTTCCCTGTCTTCCTGCAGTTCCTTTTTCACCGTCCATTACGGCTGCTCAACCTGCTGATTCTCATTGAAGGCAGCGTGGTCTGCTACCAGCTCTACTCGCTGCTGCGCTCAGAGAAGTGGAACCATACCCTCTCCATGGCCCTCATCCTTTTCTGCAATTACTATGTTTTATTTAAGCTCCTCCGGGACCGGATAGTATTAGGCAGGGCATACTCCTACCCACTTAACAACTATGGACTCAAGGCACACTAGGCCGGCCAAATGTGTACCCCTTCTCTTTCCTTTCTCACATGGCAGGGAGGGAACCTCAGAAAAAAAAAATATTTTCGTACAGTTCTATTTTTTTTTCTTGCGGCGTTTATAAATATTTAAAATATTTTATATTTTGTATACTATTGGTTTTGTGGGGTGGGAAGGGAACCAGTGGCAATTAAATGTCGCTTTATAAACAAGGTGTTATTTTATATATATAAAACCAAATCAGTGTGTATATACCGTATATCTATACCCATACATATATCTATGTGAAGCAACAGGATTGTGTGTGTGGTCACTGTGTCTGCTTTGCTCACACAACTGCCTTGCTCTTGCATACTGTTTTAATTAGGAACTGGTTTGCTCTAGAACTTGGATAATGTAACAGCCACGGGAACAAAGGAAACACAGGGGCCTTTCACAAAGATGAGCAAAGTTTATCTTACTAACCTCAGTTCCAGGGAAGTCTTGCCTTGGAAATGTGCACTGGTGTGATACCAGTTTAGGGAAAGGGAGGAAGCAGGGTGTGGAAAGACAGACTAAGTTACTGTCAGTCAGTAAAAGTTCTCAGTTCTTCTCAGCGTTAGTAGGATGGAAATATTATTTTTTAAAAATAACAAACTCTTTACTTTAGCTCCTGTCTGTCTGCCTAGTAACTTAAGCTCCCTCACTCTACCCAGAGAATGAACTAAATATTTAAATTATAATTTCAGGGTAGTGTGTCATTTAGGAAGATTTTTTTTTTTTTTAAAATAAATAGCTTCATCTAGCAAGATGGTAACTGATTATTTTAAACATCCATCTCTAATCCCATGAGTAACAGCATTAAATTAGGGAACATTCAGCCCTTTCCTTCAAGCCATAATGTTCTTGGCAGAAATGTATTACTGTCCGATACCAACTCCCTTGTTGCTATACAATGCATTTCAGCAGTGTTTCACTCTTAAGATATGCTGGTGGTGTTTAATAACTTATCATCAATATTAGAGAAAATACTTTGCTTTCAAACTGGTCTTCATAAAGCTGAACTATACTAGAATCTAGTGAATCCAGTGTGGCAGTATCATAGAGGAATTGGAGAGAAAAGACAGTATCAACCATATAATTAAGTAATCTGTGGATGCTGGTGACAGCTGATGGTAGGAGTTGATGCTTTAACTCAGGTAATGAAGGAGGCAGCAGTGCAATGTTCTTCCATTCAGATGCCATCTGACTTAACTTTAGCCATCAGTAAAGTGCTAGCTCTGAAGAATGGGTATATATGAGAAAAAACCCACACAAATTGTATGGAGTTTGGGACAAACTGCAACTACTTTCTGTTCCTTCTTTCCTTCCAAGCTAAGTAAGAACAGAGCAATCGTCTTTGCTCTTGGCTGTAGGACAAGGTCGCAAGCCTGGGATACCTGATAAGGTAGGCAACAGGAGATACATCTGATCATTAACCACACCCTCCTCCAAAATGAACACAAATGCTTAGTTTTGGTTACTCCTAGGCCTTTTCTCATCTTTCCTGGGGTCCCAGTGCTGCTGGCAGGACACAGGGACTTGGGAGTTTACAGTCTGGGACCTTTTAATGAAACACAGTACTGTGGCTTAGAGCCTACCCTTGTACAAGTGTAGTCTTCTCTAGCTCTTCCTCCCGTAATGTCATGCTTTGTCTTTAATCCACGCCTCAATTCTACCTTGATTATTTCAGGAAGTGCACTTGGGGTAAGAGGGGGGTTGGTTTCTTCTCTAGAACAGGCTCTTTGCTGCACAGGGCTTTGTGCAACACCTTTCTTGCACCCAGCTTCCACTCTTAGAATGACAGAATTGTTTGGTTTGGAAGGGACCTCTAAAGGTCACCTAGGCCAACCCCCTGCCATGAGCTGGGACATCTTCAACCAGAGCAGGTTGCTCAGCTCCCCGTCCAGCCTGACTTTGAATGTTTCCAGGGATGGGGCATCTACCACCTCTCTGGGCAACCTGTCCAGTGTTTCACCACCCTAAAAAAATCCACCACGTAAAAAAATTTGTCCTTACATCTAGGCTAAATCTACCCTCTTTTAGTTTAAAATCATTACCCCTTGTCCTGGTGCAACAGGCCTTACTAAAAAGTCTGTCCCCATCTTTCTTCTAAGTCCCCTTTAAGCAGTGAAAGGTCTCCCTGAGCTCTTGCAGCAACTCAGTAGCATTTCCTGCTTTCAGTACCACACAAATTTCACCTGCTTGTCATAGCTCAGCACCCCTTAAGCAGTATACAGCCTTACCAATTAATTTCTTTAATTTAGATGCCTAAATGATAGTGGGCTTATATTTAAGCAACCAGTGCGAGAAAAGAGGCTCTCCAGGGCTTCAGGTGGGAAAAATAGAGATGTGTAACAGGAAGCCAGAACCCTGAACCAGGGCTTTGGGTCACAGAGTTGATAAGGGTTCATGCTCTGGTTTTTCCCTCCCCTTGCATGTGAGGCTGAAGGTAGGTAGGAGCTGCTCCTGCAGTGAACACACCCATACTTTGTGCCAGAGTTAGACTGACCTTACCCTGCTTGCAGAGTAAGGGACAGAAGCACAGTGACACTTCCATAGCTATAGGCATTCTCTTTTGCTCTGATGCACTGTATAACACAACACACACCATCTAATTGCAGGCATGTTAAGATCCTCCTCATTCCAAGGGAGCTAGGCATTATTTCTCAAGAGAAGCTGGCTCTCCCCCTCAAAGTACCTTCATTATATCCTTGGAGCAGGAGTTTTGTGTGAAAGTTTAAGATCTAGGAATTGTACCTTTCCATGCATAGTATGAACTGCCAACATGCAGTCCTGTAGATGCAACTGTCTTCCATGTTTATACAAGACCCTTACATAGACAGAAATTGCAGAAGATAGTTGCAGCTTCCCCTGTTGGCAAAAACACAGCAAGGAACTAGCTAGCACAGTTGGTCTCCCCAGTATAAACTGGACCATCTGGTAAGAAAACGGGGAGCAGAAATTATGTCTGCCCAGCATCAGTGCCTGCTTAGATCAGTGTTCCTCCCTACTCCTCCAATGGGCCTGTAACTAAGCCTTATTTGAGTGAACACTGAAAACAAGACTACTCTAATATTTGGTCAGGTCAGACTAGGAGAAAAAAGACTTAGTCTCCCTCTTGGTCACTCCATCATGCGAGGATGTCATAATAAATGGATGGTTTTTTGGTCTGGCAACGAAACTGCTCTAGCTTCAGGCCAATCCTCAGAAGAACAGCTTCATCCCACCATTTTGCCATGACCTGGGAGAAGGTAAGACACAGAAAAAGAAAAGAAAAAAAAAAGCGTAAGCATCATCACATAGACGCTGTTGAAAGCCCTGCAAAACATAACTAATTTTTGTTTTCCCCAACAGCACCAAAAGGACACATGCTTTATTTACCCTTCTACCCCAGCAGGTATGGCATCAGTGCAACTGGGATAAAGGCAGCTGTAAGACTTAATCAAAAGACATGAGCCTTTCATTTACATGAGACCCTTTTCAAGGGACAACAAGGAAAGACTTGAAGTTACAGAACTGAGGAATAGGAAAATAGAGGAAGGAGTAGTGACAAATAGTGGGTACTGATGCAAGTAGATAGACAGAGAAATCTATCTCCCAGATACCTGAAAAGTCCCTCTGCCATTCAGGAGTGAGTTACTCTGAGGCAAATCTTTTTACCCACAAGTTAAAACTTTATTACCAGTACCTACCACTCCAAGTGTGTTGTGTGGAACAGCAGGAACCTGGTTATAGTGGTTCCGGACAAAGCCAGTTGGAGATTTTGTGACCCAGCATTCACAAAGAGCCAATACTCACTTGGAAGCTGATAGGAAGCCCAGCTGTAGAATATCCAATGGGGACCACAAGGCCTGGAATCCCAGTGAAGTTACCAAGCTGCATGAACCTGGGGGAAAAGCTGTCATCAGCATTCACAGAATCATCTCGGTTGGTAAAGACCTTGAAGATCCTCCAGTCCAACCATTAACCTCACCCTGACCGTTCCCAACTCCACCAGATCCCTCAGCGCTGGGTCAACCCGACTCTTCAACCCCTCCAGGGGTGGGGACTCCCCCCCTGCCCTGGGCAGCCCATTCCAACGCCCAACAACCCCTTCTGCAAAGAAATACTTCCTAAGAGCCAGTCTGACCCTGCCCTGGCACAGCTTGAGGCCATTCCCTCTTGTCCTGGTGCTTGTTCCTTGGCTCAAGAGACTCATCCCCCCTCTCTGCACCCTCCTTTCAGGGAGCTGTAGAGGGCCATGAGGTCTCCCCTCAGCCTCCTCTTCTCCAGACTAAACCCCCCCAGTTCCCTCAGCCGCTCCCCATCAGACCTGTGCTCCAGCCCCTGCACCAGCTCCGTTGCCCTTCTCTGGACACGCTCGAGTCATTCAAGTAATTCATTCCTGCCTTGGGACAGCAGCAAAGTAATTCTTTTTTGGGAGAGACAGCTAGGATCAATCCCTCCTGCTCTACAGCCTGAGCTCCTTCAGGTAGTACAGCTGGTCTCCAGCTGTTCCCAAACTTCTGCTCTGTAGTGCGAGCAGCACTCTTACCTCATGGACCGGACTGTGAAGGACAAATCACTGCTCCCAGACAAGAGGTCAGATTCAAAGATTCTTGGGGCAGTACAAGCAACACCTGTGGAGGAATCACAGAATGATTGAGACTGAAAGGGACCTCAGGAGGTCATCTTATCTAACCTTCCATCACAAGGACAATCAGCCAGAGCAGGTTGCCCCAGACAATAGCCAAATGGCTTTTGAATATCCCCAGGGATGGAGATTCCACAGCCTCTCTGGGCAACCTAATCCAGTGCTTAAAGAGCAAAGGAAGAGTCAGGCAGTGGGCAATCTTCACGGAACAGCTCAGTTAATTAAAACCACGTTAAAACCATGTTGGTGATGCAAACTCACACCCCTGGAATGCAATCAAGTCGCTAGGATTTATGAATTAAGCAGTTAGTTCTGAGCAAGAACATCTTCATACGTAAGTAGATGTTGAGTCCCTCCTGTGCTGGGTCTGCAGCTCCTGGTTGAAGTACCAAGGAGGAGTTTCTCACTGCCATGGATATAGGCAGTAAGTCTAGAAATACACAGGAAATCCATATATATACAGCAGGTTTCCTAACCAGGCTGCATC